TGACAGGATGAACTGCTGCAGTCAGCATGAGACCATGGTCTGAGCACTGGAGGCACCCGAGGTCACCAAACACCCAACCAGCAAAGGAGAGAGGTGGAGTCAGCTCTGGACACTCAGTTATGGACTTCAGATATCTTTATGATCAGATCACGTTTTCTGGAATTTGCCTCCAATCCTATCCAACAGGACTATTTTGAATAATTTACCAGTGAAGAAATAAGCACAATCCAAGACCTGGAGAAAGCTCAAAACACAGCAGCGTCAAAAGAGTTTAAATATCTGTCTTAGCTGAAAGAGGCATTTGAAGAGTCCCAGGCTACTTGTTTGAAAGTCCTTCCTGCTGAAATGATGCTCGTACCAAGCTTTCCTTTGTGAAGGTCAGCTATGCCTAGAGACTTGGTACCTCCACAACTGAGTGACATTTAACTTCATAAGAACTAAGGATATTTTAAGGTATTTGTGCTCCTGAATTTCAGAAGAGCAGAAAGACGTTTTGGCAAGAGAATGTCAGAGGATAGTTCTCACTTCTGCCCATATCTCCCAAATTGCCCTACCAAGGGATTACCTCTTTCTGAGTGTGTCTGAGGCAGCTCAGCATGAGTAAGTTTTAAGGTACCTTTTGTTAGAAAATTATATACAGAGGCTGAGGCTAAAATCTCCTCATAAGCCTCCTCCTTTGCAAAGTAACATTTTGCACAGAGTTACAACATGCCTCCAGAAGGTTTATGTTTAAACCTGAGCAAAAAAATCTCTATATGAATGTATATTTCCTATTTTCCATAATATTTCATAGAAAACCTGTCTACACACATAGCTTACACTACAATGCTTTTATTCACCATTTTCAGTATTCAGATAAACAAGCTTAGATAAACACCCAAGCACTTTCTAACTGTCCCTGTGACATCAACCATTCAGCATCTGCTGTGACACTTGACCATACACAGCCTTCCTGGAATTAGTAACAACAGCAGCAAATCTGTCCCATAATGAAACAAGTGTTCTTGCACACTCATGTCAGCTGCAACCAGACATGCAAAGCTCTCCTTGTACTTTAAAAAAAAAAAAAAGCCCACCACCAAATCCCCAAAATAAAACACATTATCGGCCCTCTCTGGAAAAAAAATAAATCATATGTTGAATGTTTTCATAACTTATCAGAACAGTGAACACGCCCTCTGACCTGATCCAACACAACTCTTCACCCAGACAGACCCAAATGCTTACAGTTACTGACCCCAGATAAGCCTAAGAACCTATATTTCTGAAATCACCTGAGAAATACATTCTTCTCATTCTGACTTTCCCTTAGGTCCTCACTACTCAATATTGCAGAATAAAGCATGAATTTACCCTTTAGCTTCTAGATCAAAGCAAGCACACTCACAGGATCAAGGCACAGGACTGCAAGATTTCCATTCTTCCCACCAGCTTCCCACTGCACACACCAGGAGTGTTTGCCCTGAACTTTGGGTTTCAAGGTGATTGATTATGCAACACTTTAAAGCAACAATTGTTAGCTTATAATTTAAGAGTGAGCATTTATTCCAGAGGTACTACTTCTGATCTAACATTTACAGTCTCACAGCTACACTAACATACCTAGAATTCACTTCTGACAGCTTTAGTGGTTTACCATGCCTCCACACCAGCCATGACTGCAATTCTGCCCATGGTGTCCTTCTCTTACATTTACATGAACCCTTGCATGCATCAGTTCTACTTTCAAAGCAAGCTGCATCTCCTAAGCCTCCTATATTTACAGGAAACACCAGCAGATGGGCAGAGCAACTTTGAAGTTTACGTCCATTGTTACAAACACATCCAATACCCTGATTCATAATGAACTTAAACCAACTGCCTGAGAAACCAGAATATTCTAAAGGCTCCAGTCTCCCTCTTCCTAGGGAAGTGAAAATTGGTTTGGAGTAAGTTTGTTTTCAAGCTCACCAACCTTGACAATATTTCATGACTCTTATCCCACAGCTTATTTAGGATTGTTTTTTCTTCCTATTCAACTTGATGACAAACTAGTTTTGATGTCTGTATTCAGTTATTCTTTCTTGCATGTTAGTCAGCCTCTCCCCATGAGAAACCAGATACTGCACTGAGTGGTTTTACAGTCACTGTTTTCATTAAGATCTGTGCTTTCACAATGCTTAACAAAAAAAAAAATAAAAAATTATACAGCTACACAGCATTATAAGCTCTCCTTGGAAAAATATTCTTACTGACTTAAGGGTGAAAAGATTCATGATTCATGATGTGTCAAGAATAGTGTTCATGTATTTTAGGGGTACCAAAACTAAATAATAACCCATATGGCTTACATTTTAAATGTAATTACATCCTGAAATGTCTGCAGAATCTCAGGATTATTCAATAGGCAGAATCCTGGCACACTAACACAGCAGTAGAGAAAGAAGGAGTAGGTTCACTTTCCATTGAAGGAAAAGGTAACCTTGGCATGAAATCAAGATCTGCAGGTGGCAGCTTCAAGTCTGAATTTGACAGAAAATAACTATCTCACCTACCCAAAAAACACCAAAATAAGGAATTCACTATTAAAAAAGCAAGTGCTTGGCTCAACACAAGAAAGAAATTAAAATACAGTGAAATTTAAGTCTTGCAATGAGTTGTAGGAGTGATGGTACCCTTAAAGAGCCCAGTATGATATATTTCTAAAAGACACAAGACATGACATTCACTTAAAAGAGGAGACTGACATGAGTGTGTAAGTTACTATGGAGCCAAGATCTTCATGCTCAGGTTATACTTAAAATAGCAAATGAAGCCATTTTCAGAGATATCAGTTTCTTTTTAACAGCAAAGAACATTTCAGATCAATTCTAAATTTAATCTTAACCTAGAGTATTCAAAACAAACTCTCAGAGGACATTTATTCTTCCCCTCCTAACTTTAGCAATTTTAACTGCCTTAATCCAAGGAGATAGTACTAGCTATATTTTTCAGTTCCCATGCTGCATGCCCAAGCCAAAGCTTGCATTTGAGTGGCAGTTCAAGAAAACTCCTTTGAAGTAATTTAGGACCTCAAACCAAAGTATGTTTCTGCTGCATGATTGAGCACAGATTCACTTCTCCCTCTGCAAATACACAGCACCTGGTCCAAACACATTACACCCCAGAATATCAAGTGCCCCGTTTCCTACAGGCTCAGAGCATCACTAGAGCAAACCCTTGTCAGCCACCAGCACATGAAGCAGATTTGCCTGTTAGTGGCACACAAACAGCTGGCCCCAGCAGCATCTATTGGATGTTCGGCCACGTAAACCCTCTTCCACAGGGGAACACTTGTGTTGGAGGGACACATGTTCAGGGTGGTTAGTCATTGTTCAAGGGATTTGTTCAGCAGCTCTCTTCAATGGACATCTTAAGAGGTTTTATAATGAAAATCTAAGTTTTAGAAGAGCTCAAGCCTTTTCTTCCTTTCTTTAAATTACTACTGGATAATATGTTCTAGCAATACGAGCAGCACAGGAGAGAGTAAATTTACCATCATTTCCCATTAGCAGATACCTTGTCTGTATTTTTCAAGCCATTCACTGGCATGTTACAAACGAAAAGTGTTATTTTTCTCCCAGAAAGGATGTATCCATGCTGTATTTCAGCCCAGTATTACACTATGCCATATTTTAAATTAAAGCAGATAGAGTTCAAAGCTAGACCAGTTCAATAGGCTAATAAACAAAGAGGTCATTGGACTGATAGTTTCATAGCCTGCATAACTTTAGAGTTAGAACACAGGAGAGGAGGAAAAGGAAGAAGTCAGATTTAGCCAAAACTAGCCAAGGATCAATAAACATTTTCACCTCCTTCTTTCTGTGACTGCTTCCTCCCATGCTCTCCCACTAACCCCACACTAACCAACCTCAGACTTTGTTTGCTTTCTTTACACAGCACTCACATAGTAGGGCATCAGGCTTAGAGCTACAAACTCAAATCCTGTCCATCCCAAAATACCATGGCTATTCCAATATCTCCAGCAATGGACTGAAGGCATATTAAATAAAAACACCACTGTGTTTGAGGGATAACTTTAGTACCCCAGTAAAGATCTAAACTGATATGGTCAAAGACACTGCCAAAGAGCAACAGACATTGGCTAGAAGTTTGCCCTTCAGCTGGGGAAATGCCACTTATTCAGACCCCTGGTTCACAGAAAGCCCTTCAGCTTACAGCTCATGCTGAATGAGATTAACCAAAATCCAGCCATGGCAGTAACATACAGCAGATTCCTCTAAGTATCCCCAAACGTATCAAAAATATCCAAAGATTGACAAGACAAAATAAAGACGTTTAAATGAATCATCACCACATGCAAAAATTACAGCTTGTACGGGCAGCAGCTTTAAAGGGTCACTTTTGTAACAGCCAACATCACTGAATTACTCAGTTGCTGGATTTATCCTCAGGTACAGTCAGAACTCAGAGGTCTCAACACATGATTCAGGGAACAGATATGAACTAATGTCTCCAGGTATTTAGGAAAGAAGCTCCAGTACAATATGTCACCTATTTGTCATGTGTGACACCTACGCACAGCAATTTTTTTTGTCTTTGCTGACTGTCAGTGAAAAGATATCGTGAATTCTATTTTCAGGACTGACAGCAGCCTGAAGGATTCATATCAGCTAGCAAAGCCAACTTCAGTTGTTGCTTACATCTGCTTTTTTTTGTGAACTATCATTCATGTCATTATGAACCACACATTCCTGAACAGGGGCTGTAACTAAAAGACACATCTATACATGCACTAAGTTTATCTTCCTTTTAAGATCATTATATATAATTGCCCTATGAAGAAAGTACAGTTAAACAAAAACAAACAATACAAGTTTAGATAAAAACCAGGTGTCTTGCAGCTCAAATAAACAACACAGAAAGCTGATTCTACAGTTCAACCACTTGAGTCACACACTCTAAGGCTGCACAAAGTGTACTGAAGAGTAACTCTCCACAATTACTGGTTGCTGACCTACCCCAGTACCATGGGTCCCATCCACACTGCTGCCATATTTCTGGGGTTTCACTACATCACCATAATCAGCATCAAAGTTAGTCTTCCACACCATCACCTGCAGAAGAAAGTTAACTCCATTAAAATTTCCCATCTAGGTTTACTTATAGGTCATATTTTTTCAAGCCTTCAGAGAAAAATCAGCAAATACACAAAAAATTCCCCTAGAAGAGCTTCGCCATTGATTAAATTAAGGATGTTGATTGGAAATATGCTGACAGACATTTATGATATATAAATACAGACAGTTTAACTGAGTTGTCAATGGGTAAGTGACCTCTTTCAACATTCTTTTCATCAAGAACATCATTAAACTGGAATGACCAAGAGAACTTCAAAGCAACGTGAAGAATACACCATTAAAGCCACAAAAATTTTAAAATACCACACTCATCACTATGACATTTATCAGCCACATCCCAACCAACCAGTCACTCTTTTATCACAAGACTCATTCAGAGGGAAAGGAGAGTTAGTGCTAAGACCAGCATTAGAGTTCTTAAGTTAGTTTGTCAGCTGGACACCAAACTTAAATCCCACTTATAGGCTCTGCTCTCCATAACACAGTATTGATTTCAGAAAAGAGGCCTCTAACACATAAACCACTTCAACATATCAAGAGGAAATCCATGGAGTAAACCCTTCAGCAGTGACTCTACAAGTCTAAAAATGTTAGAGCAACTAATCAACAATTTCAGAGGTCTGAAAGACACACAAGAATCCAGTTATCCAATCTCATCTGGTTATCAGAAGGAGCATTTATTCTTCATTTACAAATTTGAATCACTGTTTTGCATGAAATCAAAGCATTTTTCTTTCACTGTTGCACGGTTAACCAATGGAATGGCCATTACATTGTGCAACAGGGAAAAAAAGTGATGTTCTTAGTAAATAGAATCTGTCTCTTCACAGCTAGCAAAGGTGCTGTTAAAGGTGGGCATTGCCATCTGGTCCAGCCTGGGGATTAAGAGCAGTACAACACAGCTCTTTGAAGACTGATGAGCCTTACTCAGATCACTACTTTGCGCTGAAGTCTGTGTGTATTCAGCAGGGTAACTCACACTGTGCTAAAACCAGGACATATTTGCAGCATAGGCTCCCCCATTGACAACACAGGACAAAAAGCAGCAGCTTTTAAAGAAATGTGAAGCTGGATTGTAACTCAGGAATGAATCAGGTACCTGTTCATCAGAACCTCCAGAAGCAAATAAGTCTCCATCTCTTGAAAATGCTACACATGTAGCTGGTCCCTGCAAAGACATTTAAAAGACAGGTTTAAAAAAAGACAGAAGAAAATGAGGTGTTACAACATTCCATTCATTACAGCTTTACAAGGTATTTATCATTTGACATCAGCAATCTAAAGGCAAAATTTGAAAAGCTCTTACCTGTCAGGTAAATGGGCCATAATTAAGATGCTAAGCTTGCTGGCAATTACCTTTCCCACACTTTTGACCCCAGTTTATGACACCCAGTTTTCAATAACCCTGGCAGAGACAGGAACAAACCAATCTTTACAGCACCAGGCTTTTTCTTGTTCCCCTCAAACATTCCCTCTCCACTTTAGAATTAGAAATTTCTAGAACTCCTGTTCACTTATTAGAAGTGTTGAAACTCTAAGGTTTTTGCATAGTAGGCTGGCTTAAACTGCTTTTCTTAGTAACCACATAGGAGGGATGCCAGTGTTAATACATCCAGGGTCATCTCTACACAGCACCTGCCTTGTGAAGAAGCCTCACGCTTGAAAGAGTCAGTTCTGAGAGACTTCAAATACTCAAGTGCTACAGCACACCTTTCACACCACACACCTATTTCAATGTGTTTTCTACCTTCCAGCAAGCGCACAGGAGGATGCACTTGGGAAGGCTGAGGCAGGAACTCTGAGCTGCAGTTAAACAGAGCTCAGGAATTGCTGTGCATGTTCGAGCTCAGGCACAACAGACAAACTGTTCTGCTCAGAGTAAACAGCTGAGAACCCAGACCGTGGAGTTCTGTGTCAGCTGCTGAACACATTCCTCTGCAGACTGTTCACCAGCATGGGCAGAGGTCAGAATGAAAACTTTCAGAATCTGCCTATGGAGCTGACAGGCTGGGGAGGGTTGGGAGGAAACACCAAAAACACAACAAGAAAAACCATAACAACCACCAGAAAACTCCACCATGTGATCATACACCTCCTGACAGAAGCAATTACCCCCCTTCAAATAAGATCATGTATTTCAGAAGGCCATTAAGAAGCTTCTCACCCTGTATCAAGTAAGAAGGAGACACAATTCTGAGTCCACATCTTTCCAATGGACATTGCATGGAAACCTCACACTCCTTCTTTGCCTTCTTTGTAGAAGCGAATTCAACATAATAAATCCTGAAGATAGATAAATACCCAAAGATTGCATGTGATAAGCACCCAGCTCTCACTGTAACCTGTCCCCCACTGTCCTGTGGGCTTCCAAACATGCTGGCACAAGCTTATGGCAGCAAAACCAGAACCTTGCTGGGCTCAATCCCATTGTGAAGAGTTTTAGCTTCCTTAAAACACATTAAGGTGTTTCCATATCATTTAACATGCAGGGATTTCAAAATGTTTTGAGACCTTCCCATAGCAACACCTCACTAGAGAGGACTTGCCAGGAACCATCCAGTAGCAGCAATTCCAAACCGCAGGCGCAGTCATTGGTGTGACTAAGCTCACTCACCTGACACAGCAATAACTAGGGTAGATATTTCAGACCAAAGACACTGCCATCAATCAGCTGAGACAAACTGTGCCTCTGCCTTTATTCCCACCCACCTACCCCGGTGTTCAGCTTTCTAATCACATGTCAGGAATGGAGGCTCTAAAAAAAATACGAAAGACAAGCAGTAAGAAAGAACAGAAACAACACCACAGCCAGAAAACTGCAGTGGTGAATATTGCTCCAAGATAATTGAGGTGAGCTTACAGAAGCTGCTCTTGGACTAATAAACCAGTCAGAGTTATGAGGGCAGAAAAAAATTTAAGATGAAGTGTTCAGGAACAAGCACAAGCAAGGAACACTGGAAAGGAGCAATGTTTCCTAAAAATATTTTTATCAGTCTAAATATTTCAGCGTATTTAGACAAAATCTAGTGAAACACTAATCACATAAAAACAGGCAATGACTCCAAAGTCATGGCATTCTGAAGGGAAAAAAAGTTCAACAGAACATATTCTTCCCAAAATAGAAAATTATATCAAAGACTGAATGTGCCTTTATAAATTGAAATAAAGGGAACAAACAAGTCTATAGACACAACATCCTCTACAGATTTGCTGACATAAATTAAGTCAAAAGTATTCCTGCTACATGCACTTCCAGAACTCTTCCAAGATACAAGTTTGCTATAGCAACATACAAATAAGAGTTTGCCAAATACTCTTGCAAGTTAATATTAACACACCAAACAAAAATAGAAAGCTACACTTGCCAGTTATAAGACACAGTCTAACTTCCATTCATCCCAGGTGATGAAGTCCTGGGTAACAGGCATGAGATTGGAGAATGAAGAATTTAAACCTTCTTTTTCCC